ACATGGTGCAGGTGTCATAGTCCAAGAGAAAGTATTTGCAAATAACCTTGCCACAAGGTCAACAACTCTGTTGCTTTTAGGCAGCAAGAGAATCAATAACCTTGAGGAGCTTGTCTAATAATTATGAAGGCTTTGGATGGGAGTAGCAGCTAAAGACAAATGTCAGATGTGAGAATAAGTGACGTGATATTGTGAGCTAAACTCATTCCATTTATTTTCACGTGAAGGCATTAATAATCTTGGGTATATTTAAAAGTTTCAAAGAAGGAAGGAGACTTTGCTTCTGCTCCTAACGTTGCCATACGTCTTCCTGTGACATATGACAAGTTTGTGCTTCAGCTTCTCTAACTGCAAAATAATCACATGTACCTAATATTTATGCCACTTTCAGGTCCTTCACTAGGAGGTTTTTGTAGCAGTAAATCACCTTCAAGAGCCACTTCATCAAACAAGGTCATTGAGGGAGAAATTAGTCACAGAAATATCTTGGCAATGTCTTGTGATCTTCATGTCTCTAGCTTGCAAGTCACCGGTGTCTGTTTATTGTAGCACACATTATTTTAGCACTGCACACAAGAGCCAAAACCCCTCTCTGTGCCTGGAAATGTCTGTGTTGTCCTCCATACAACTCCATGGCCAAATTCCCTCCTGGTAAAAATCGGTGTAACTCCAGTGACTCCGGTGAAGCTGCATTAATTCCCAGCAGTAGATAATTTGTTCCTGCATCCTCTGCTCCTTTGCTGCCTGGTTACTGGTGGAGCAGCTGGGCAATGCTTTCCATCTGTCAGGGGAAGGGTCAGGGAAAGCAGCTGGACATGGGCATACTTGCTTTATGGGTACTGTTTGTGTAAGGTCTTAAGCAGCATCTCCTCTTGACTTGACTTCTAGCTTTTGAAACTTTTTATTCCACAAAAAGATTAATTAAACTAGACTGTACCAACCTGGGGGAGCTGTAAAGGGTAACCTGGTAACAGCCAGAGTGGATCAGAAAAAGTTCCTCAGCATTTATGTTTTCATAGCAATCGAAATACTTTGTAAAACTATGTTACTTTTGAAGTAAAACTGGAAAAAACTCAAACTATATGAATAATGTCACATGTCCGCTTCACTTGAACAATATTTTTAAAGTTTTTTAGATTGAAAACAATTTGTTTTTTTGCAGCATTGTTTTATATGATAGGAAAAAATGTCAAACTTAAGTGAAGCAGTTTAACTTCTCATAAATAAAAATGCAGCCAACCAAGCCTTATATATTTTTGTCTTTTAATTTCCCATGTTTTTCTATTTCTTAGTTATATCAGATTTTGACATTTTGATGTTCTTTGCAAAATTAATCTTTTGTTCTTGAAAAATCTTTAGCAACAACTCAGGAGGATCATCACAATTCGACCTCTTAGCAATCATTTAAAATAATGGCTAAAATTGGTTAATGATCTGAAACAAATGAGAAAACGAGAATGTGACTGAGACCCCAGTGTATTTTGCTGAGTGTTTGCATCACTTTTTTGGGTAACCAGTAGCAGGAACACTAGGTTAACTTGTTGATTAGATATACAAAAGCTCCTGATAGAGTTGCACTTTGCCTCTTTCACCTTTTCCTGTGATAGAAATCCTTCTGCAGTTATTAATCTAAAGTTATGCAAAGTATCTTTTAAAATAACTCCCTTTCTCCCTCGTTTCCCTTTCAAATACTATAGTGTGAGTTTCTTTTTCTCATTTCCCTGTTTTTGTCAATAATTTTTTGAGAGAGGTTTAAACACCCCCAGTGTTTGCAGCCTTGCCTGAGGTCATGACAAAAAGTAGGAGAAAAATTAGAAGGTCCCCTCCACAGACTCTGAATTTGCCTCATAGGACATTACAGAAATATTTTTCAGTCACCTATAAAATCCTTTTAAGGCAAAAATTCAAGAATTGGCTTGGATTTTCACCTGTGCTTCACACACCAGAAATCTCAGCACTTATTATTCCTCCAAAAGGCAACACTTCACATTTCCAAATACTCTCAGCTTGTGGATTGGAGGGTTTACAGATGAACTGCCTTTTGGCAGTGCTGTATTTCATGATACAGTTAATGTTCCACTTTAGAGCTTGTACAAAGCTTAAAAGTGAACACAAACTGATTGAGGAAAAACTGCTTTAGTTGTATGTTTTCTGTGTTACCACAAATCTAAATGTCTACCAGCTGTAGAAGCCTGACGGCGTGCCAAAAGTGACATGTAATTGTGAGCAAGCAATTTCACCTGCACAGTGCTGAAATGTTTGCTTGGTGATACTGTTCTTTATACTTTCCTCTTCCTACCTGCATGGTGCCCTAATAACACTGCTGTATTGCACAAGTGAAGCTCTTAGGCTCTGTTGATAGTCACAGACTCTTGTGTACTTGAAGTGACACAGTACGTATCTAGTGAAGACAGGCACAGCTGTTATTTGTATGTGTTGAGATAATTCATAATGGGAAATGAAGTCTGATCCACCCCTACTCTTCCTGCCTATTGTAGGACTTGCACTGGTCCACCTCTACTGAAACCCCCAGTGCAGAGGGGATTGGTGTTCTAGTGTGAGTTGAAGCACTGGTGCAAGAAGTCTTGAAGAAAATCAGAACTTGGGGAAGTACCAATACATATCAATGACAATTAACATCAGATAGATCTTTAGGAAGAAAAATCTGAATCTCAGATTTGTTGTATAATGTGGCTCGCACTATTTATATTTTGGACCTAATCCTTCTGGCAGGAATATTTGAATCACCACACGAGTGTTCACTTGCTAAGAAAGAGAAGCGAATTTTTAAACTTCAAGACCTCTGACTTAGAGTGCCAGTAAATATTTGAAAACAAGCAAACAAAAATTGAATGATGCTGAAACAACTGTTGGCTAAAAGAACTTTCAAGTATCTTTAGTACCTCCTGTTACTGTTTCCACACAACAACAAAAACCTAGGAACATTCAACAATTATATAAAAAAAATATTCAGAACTTTTGCCGTAATTATATAAAAAAATAATCAGAACTTTTGCCATATTAATGCCATGACTGTTTTGTTTTCCTTTCAGCACAGCAGGACACACAGTTCCATGAAATTAATTCATTATTTGTATCCATCTCACTTGCACTGTAACTCTTTCAAGCTGCTATTAATCATCCCTGTCTTCTGTAGGAAAAACTAGCTAGAAATAAAAAATTAAACAGATAATTTTTAAGTCCTGTTTCCTGAGCACCCAGGTACTAGGCCTTTTCTGATAGTAGACGCCACATAAACTACAAGACAAGTAAGACTGGGTCATAACTCATGCATACGACTGTCTTTAATACGAAGGGACGCCGTATTTGTACCTTGCAAAAAGTCTAGCCCTGTTTTATTCACTGCAGAGAATACTGTGAATAATTTGTAAAAGAAAATCCATAAATGTCTGAGTTTATTCAGAAGCGAAGAGTCATTCTCCTGCACAAAGTCACAGTGTGCATTGTGCTGAGGATCTTTAGTAATGCATAGGTTGTTCTCCCTATGAATGTAAGTTTTGTTTACTTGGAGGTAAAAATAATCACTGTTTTTGTTTAAGAGCAATGGGTGCAGTATGTCTTTCAGGTCTATGACCAAAACTCAGTACCATAATCTCAAATTCTTAATGGAAAATAAACCCTTTGCAGACTGCAGTAGACACATTATTAGAGTTCTATTGCAAATTAGTATTTTAATTCACAAATTTACAAGTGATCAGTCTTTATCCTGATCATCTTTATTCAGAAGGAATTTGTTTTGGTAAGGATTGTAATGTGAAGATTGCACCTTGTGTTCATGAAACCATTTAGAATGGCTAATTATGTGAACAGGCAGTTTTCTGACATTGCTTTTGATACATGAACTAGTCTTTGGCTAAGTATACAGGTGTTCTAAAAAAGGATGTGTTCATCTTTCCTTTTCATTTTACTGAACATTTTTCAGAGATCTACAATAGACACAACAGGTAAAATCTTAGTCTAACATTAAAATTTTCAATGGCTACCTTTGAGTACAGAGAGGGGGAGTACATTATAAAGCAGAAATTCAGATCATGCTATGTATCTGGTTTCAAGATATTCAAAAGAACAAAAGAATTCTGAAAACTTCATAAAGTGGAAATCAGGATATTTTAATGATGGCAACCTCTTCTTTCTCTCAAAAAATAATTTTATACATCCAGAAATTCAATTTGAATCCTCTGTTATTTAAAAATTATTTGGGTTTTTCCATTTGGCAGATACTGGTTCCTCCACTCCTACTGTTTCTCCTCCTTCTTCATTCACTTGCATATTACTAGTGGAGGTGTCAAAACTGTCCATTGTAATTCTCCATTATAAGCAGTTTTTGTCTACTTCATTTTTCAGAGAAGTCCTTCATTATATTTGTATCCATAATGATGCAGAGCTGTAGGAATTAGCCCTATTCTACATGGGTGAATGTGTAGAGGTATCAGCGATACACCCAGAATTATTTTATGGGGTTCTATAGGGTGTGTTATGGGAATAAATCAATGCCTTCAGAGGAATAAATAGGTTCATTAAAAACTGAGTGCTAAAGCTGGGGTAAGCAAGTATTTCTATTGTGAATGAGCCGGTAACAGTGTTTGAATGTGAGTGGGCATCACAAGCACATCACTGTCAAGATACATGCACGGGAGTTTCAGGCACAGAGTGACTTATTCTTCCTGTAGAGCTGGTGGCCAGCTGCCTTCCATGCTCACTGCAATGCCCCAACAACCTTCCAGAGTATCTGTAAATACAGTATGTAACAGAAATTTAGAGCAAGGGGGAGAGGGGAAGGGACTATTTCTGTGAGCTCTGTGTTAGGAGAGAAGTCATAAGCCTTTTTTGACTAGAAAGTGATGGAAAATAGCATAATGAGAAAATGAGGAAAATAGGGAGGAATAATATAGAAAAAGGGAGATGTTAATGACCTTTACATAGCCCGTGTAACTGTTTCCTTCCACATGCACATCAGACGCTGCTGCCTTTTCCTCTACATGCTTTTATCTGCCAACAGGAATCTCTTTTGCCTTATCCAGACTGGCATTCACTTTGCTTTTGTGCAGATCCCTACTTCTGGAAATTCAGAAATTGGAGAGAGTGCAGATTATTCCTTTGTGGAAAAGGTAAAGAATGGTTTCATTCAGAGGATATCTATTGATTTCCCAGTGTTTTTACAGGTGTTAATTCCAGCCCAGCTCAAGCAAACCAAGGACTGTTCGTCCAAGTCTTAAATACATGCTCGAGTAGGTATTCATAAGCAATATAACAGTTTGTGATTGGCTATGGAATGATTTATATTTTGTTGAAACCATATTACAGAGTATTTTTTAAGACATTGTAAGATGGAGAATTCAATCCCTACATTGATAGTTTGTGGAATAATTAATCATCCACAATATTAAAATCTCTGCAGTTTTTAAAATTTGAATGTATCTGGTTTTGATTTCCTGTCCTTTTCCCTGTCACCTTCAGATTAATCACAATTAGGATGTGGTAGGATCAAGATACTTAGGAGGGACAATGATCTAGACACTTCTTGATATACTTTGGGATAATGCAAACAGATTAATTTTTGTAGCTCCTATATGCACTTTCTCCATATGTTTACATCCATTTTAAAATCTGCTCCCAGCACTACAATATAAATCATACTAATGCCACATACAAAAGTAAACAAAATCTTCTGTTTCTTTCCTGTTTACACATTCAAATATGGGTTTGTCCTTTTGACCACTGCCATGGAAGTTCAGTTATTTGGCCAAATTAGATCCTAAAATTCATTTAAAAGCTGTTTATTTTCAGGTTTCACTCCCCGTACTTATAAGGATTGCCAGCTTTCTGTTTCGGGGTAATACATTTTCTTTGTGAATATAAATGCTTTTAATATAAGAAAGAATATACTTAAATATAACTATTATAACACTTTTTTTTTCCTCATTTAAAGAATGCATGTGTGACAAATGATGTCACACAGTGTACAATGTCTTATATGTTAATCTACTAAAACTGTTAAAAAACTATATTATGAAGGCATTTTCACCAATTTTGTTCTAAAACATAAGAAAAATAATTTAGTGAGGATTTTATAAATCAAAATAGCAGAATTTGAGGGTCAGTAAGTGTCCACAGAGACCTTCATCATCAAGAAGTAATGGAAGTGCTACAAGGTAAATACAGCTGGTGGTAGTACTCCATTGCCATGTTCTGTTTCATTCATGCATGTTATTTGGTTGTATATTTTATTGCTGGTTACAGAACACATCTGAAAGTGACAATGATGAAGTTGATGGCAACAATATATGTGGTTTCAGAAAGAAAAAGGGAGTCAAAGGTCCTACAAAGTTCATTCCTCCTTTAGAAAATGAGAAGATGGAGCTGTCCCACACCTCAAAAATCCCAGATCCTTGTCCCCTTCAAGGAACCACCGGTTACTCAGAAGCACCACCAAATCAATCTCTTCAAAACCTGACTAGCTTTCCTCCAGTACAAAAAGACAGAGGGAGTTGTGACAGTTCCCATACTGGCAGTGATATGAAAGAAGACATGTCTGGAGAAACTCAAGCAATCCAGGAAAATGTTGACTCTGGGAAAAGAGTAATAGGAAAAATGCGTGAAGAAATAGATACAGCAGCTAAAACAGAGCAGCCCATGGGTATGCAACCCACGAGGAGCATCAGGAAAGCTGGGTGCACAGAGGCAGCACGCAGAGAGGGTAGTGAGAAGGAAGAGAGTAAGCCAAAAGGACGGGGTAGGATGGAAGAAAAAGATATCAACTTTCACGTGACAAAGACGGGCTCCCTAGGCAGTATTGTAACCACACAGGGAAGTGGTACTGCAGAGTCCTTCACAGGGGCACCTGACATTTCAAAACGAAGTCTGAGAGAGTTGAAAAACCTGCTGAGTGAAGGCCCGCTGCCTGCTCATGGGCCCAGCTACAGTGGCAAGGCAGGTGGCACTTTTTCTCAGAAAAATTCAAAGCCCCGGGAGAAAACAGCTGACAAGCAGGGCCGACCCTTCGAGACTTTTAGTCCCCATTTTGGAGAGGAGAATCGAAAGTACCACAGCTTCCATAAGGAGGGAGTGGGGCAGCAGAGCAAACCTCTCCTGGTCCTCAGCGCTGCCGGGTCTGATCAGCAACAACCAGTGGGAAGTGACATGGATCAACTTATCCTGGGACTACCAGCAGCTTCTACACATGCAGAAAGCACACCTCCTGAGATTCAGTTTGACTCCTCTGCAGGCCACGCCGGTAAGGATATTTAAACATCACCCACTGTCCTGTTAAAGAGAATGCTCCCGTTGTTTTGTGGGCTTTTGTTAAACTGCAAACTTTAGTCAGAGCTTGTGCATGGGAGAGTTGACACCTGTGGTTTCTGTATGGTCAGGATGGATCAGAAGTTGTGCTCTACATCAATGCTGGGTTTTTTTAGTCATTTATGAAGCCCAGCTGCCTGCCAAAACGTGCCACGCACAAGTGGTCATGTCTTTCTCACTAAAACTGAAATATTTCCTCATTTAAACTGAGCTCGGGCAACATTTCCCAAAGGTCTGCTAAACGCTGCAAAGCTCTGATGGCATCTGGGCTTCTTAAAATTTCCTTTTTGTTAACATTTCCAGCAGTGGAAATTGCTCCCATGTAGGGAAGATGTTTTCAATTATCTGTCCTGTGAGAGGACTGGAATGCAAAAAAATCTCATATAAACTATAGGGGAAGAAAAGCAAATGAGGCAGAAAACTTCCACTTCATGCTGTTCAATAAGTCCATTTTGGAAGTGTTTATAGAGCCAATTAATTGCTACTAATAGGCTGTGATTTCTTTGAGACTGTAAAACCTATGCTTCTGGGCTAGCTGGATCAGCAAACGGAAAGCTATTAGCTATGTAATGTAATGGGCTTGAGCAGTTCATTGTTTTGTGTCTATTCCAGGAAGCACACAAACAACAATTTGACAACTGAATAGATATCAGATGAATAAATTTCCAGAAGCAACAGATTCAGATCATATTATCAGCTTTTCAGGATAGATATCTTACCCTCTGATTTATCTCACTGATACAAGAAATATGAAGCTCTTCACTAACAAAGTACCTTGTCTGTCATTAATTATGCAAGAAAGCATAATAACAGCAATTACATTTTTACAACAATATCAAGTTATCCTGCTATTTTTAAAGTCTCCTTTCAGATGGGTAGAAACATTGCTATACATACTCTGAAAACAGACAATTTGAATTTTCAAATATTGTTAGCTACAGCAGGATTTCTCAATAGACATATTGTGTTACCCAGTTTGAAGAAGTCTAAAAAAGATATCCATGAACATTACTAGTGATAACTCAGGGCACTGCATGAGAAATATAAAGCTTTGAAAAGATACTTTGTGCTCAAACCACTTTCTATTCACGTTGATTAGAATAAAGAGGTTAGAGGATTATTTCTCAGCCTACACTTGATGCTGTTCAGTTTCCAGATTACATTGTTTTTAATATTGCTGAAAGGCTAGCAAAATGCATTGTCAATTTTAGATTACTACTGTTTTCTCATTGTCTGCAAAACAAGCAAGTTGATTTAAAAATATAAGAATAATTATTCGTTGTTATAACACCATTTACAAGGTACAGGGAACTGATGAAATTAATTGTACACTCCACAGCGAGATTTCAGCACAATTTTAGCCACTTAAAGTGTAGTGGCTAATCCATGTTTATTACCTAGTCAGTAGAGAATTTTATCATCAAAGAGGTATTAAGGTTGATGAGAAATTGACCTTTGGAGGTGGGCATCTCTTTCCACTCAATGGGAAGAGGTCCCATGATGGTTAGTTTAGATTATTTGCCTAACTCTGAAATGCCTAAAGCTACCTGGGGTTAATCCTCTCTGTATCACTGGAGATAACAGTTATTGTAAGAGAACTATAGAAGAGAACTATCTATGAAGGGAGGTGGGGGAAAACTGTTTTATCTCATCATCCAAAAGTTCTGGAATCTCATGAGGTTTGCACTCCATTTGGCTTTGGCCAAACAAATTGTAGGACTCCATTTGTGTTTCCACTAGTAAATGGAACGCACAGAAATAGTTTCTGCTTAATTAGAAATGTATGTGTTTGTCTGAAATGTAATTTTCATTTAATACATTCAGTAATTTAAGAGAAGAAAGTTTCAGATAAAATTCTGCACTCTTTAATGAGATTTTACATAAACAACATTTTATTGCTGCAGGTGATAACTTATTAAGATTGATAAAATGAAATCCTTAATATTTTAGTATTATGACTAAAATATTACCTGAAATATTTTAGTTACCAGAGTGCCTGAAGTCTGGTATCTAAACATATCACGATATGGAGTAGATCTGAAATACAACCTCTTGTATTTTGCAAATTTTCAAATATTTGACCTTGGTCAAATCAGAAATCTTGATCCAAAATGTTTGAAAAAATTACAAGAAGTATTTCAGATCTACTCAGTGTCAAGATATGATCAAAGCAGGAATATGCCTTATTGTTCTAAAAGTACACAGTTAAGGGACAGTCTCTAGAGGTCAGCAGTAGAAAGGCAAAGACATGTAGCTGAGCTTTAGAGATTCAGTGTAATTGAGAGGATTGAAATACAGTCATGCTAGTTATGTCATTAACATCTCTCTAAAATAATAAATCCATATATTTTTTCCAAAATTCTGATTGGAAATTATGGAAATATTACTGCCTGTGCATTTTGTCAACTGCTTGTTAGCTCTTTTGTAAAGGAAATTTTGCGACATGGGAAAAAAAAAAAAAAAAAGGGAAAAGAGACAGACAAGCAAGATATTTGGGTCAGTATGAAAATTTTTACTTGGACAGTGTCAGTGAAACTGGAGCTAAAGTTAAAGCTAAAGGTATTTTATTCTCATCACCATGGAAATATAGAAACTAACACATGTAGCTAATTAGGCAAACACACTGACTGCAATAACATGAATTTAGTAATTTTATTTGCATGTGTCTATATATTATAATGATGTGCACTTCTGAATATTGGTATATAGTCATTAATAATCCTTCTTAAGCTGTTCAGAGTCTGCATTCTTGGGAGACCAAGAGGGAGTCATCCAAACAGTAAAAATTCAGATGAAATTTCATGTATGTAACATATAACACTTCACAGTACGTACATGCACACATATGAATGCATGCATGTACTGTATGTATAGCGTATATAGCATATAACATAAGTGTATATTGTCCTCTCTGAACTCAGATCTTATCACATGCTGTTCTGCACACTACTAAATTGGAGTATTTATACATTGATAGCAGAGAAGAGGCCAATGAAAAGAACTTTATTTGAGCAATTCCCAAGGATCCAGATACACCACACTGTTGGGGTTCTCTTTGTCACAGAGGGATATGGGCTGCCAAAGCCAGGGACTGCAGCTGGTTTCAGCAGCCACCTGCACTACCTATGGTCAGAGGGCCCTGCAGAGCCCGGTGCCACCACACAGGCTTAGGAGCAATCTCTCTTCTGAACCTCGTGAGACAACAGCACCTCCAGGTAGCTCTAGGTGGGCAGCACACTGGAATCAAGCTGTGACCTGAGGCTTCAAATTCCCTTTGTATGTTTTGGCCTGTAGCTGGGATAAAAAAAATGTTTGTTAAAAGCTACTTGAGTGCAGGCTGCAGAGCTGGGCCCCCAGAAAGCTGAGCAGGTCATCTCAACAGAGCTCATCTTCTTGAGTATGTATCAAGAGAAGCCGTGTAAACATGACCAGCACAGTATCAGGAACTGCTGGAGGGAGAAGGAAATTTCTGAAGAAAGAAAATATGTTTTATCTATAGCTGGAATCAGTGGCTACTTAGTGACTGTTGAAAATTTCAAATGCACAGAAAAAAAAGGTTTGAACACTCCAAGAATCACATGAAATGTTATGCAGGTGCTGACCCCAAAGAGTAAGTTCTTTTGCTAAGTTATTGTTTTAAAGAAAAGCATATCAAGTAGCTACTAGCTACTAACAGGCTATATTTCATATTTAAGACTTCAACATATTTCATTAGTCCTACAAGCAATTCTCTGTTCTATTACAATGAATAACCTCATGTTGTTACTCTTATTTAAAGCTCTTATTTTTAGCAATAAGGCAGTCACAAATTATGATTCCTACTATTTAGAGACAGAATTATGGAAAGAAGTCTTCAACAAAAAAATTAGCCTAAGGTTTTTGCTCCATTGAAATGAAAAAGTTTGTCCATTCACTTTTAACAAAATCTGAACTCTCCCTGCGGTTTCACTGTGCTCTGTGCTCACTCAGAAGAGGCACATTTGTCCCCACTAAGTCTGAGCAGTAAGTCACATCAGTGGTGAGGAAATAGAAATGGATACTCTTCTGGAGCTGTAAGTGGACAATCAGGAGATATAAGTGGACACAGGAGAGGTATGTAAATTGCTGCTCCAGGTACTTCATATTCACTGCTTCCACAGAATCACCACATCTTACTGTGAGGATTATTTAGGACTGTGTTTTTCACTTGCTACTTTTCTCTGCTTTGTATTTTACATAATCTGTGCTGTTCTTGCATCTCTCCTAAAGTGAAAAAACAAAGCCATACTGTTTCTTCATGGACCTTCCTCATGCCCTACCTGCAGTTCAAGAATTTTTTTCTAATGTTTCTTTTTCTACATTTTGAACTCAAGTTGAACATAGCAGGGCTGAAGCTCAGCTCCTTTCTAAACCTTCTTGATTGCCCTTATTTTCTCTTGAACAAACCATCATATTTCCTGACTGTTTCCTTTTCCCTTCGAACTGAGCTATATACAACTTGCTATTTTTTTTAACCTCAGAAGCTCTAAGAGCAGCTATTTTTCTTTAAAGCAAACCAAAACTCTTAAATCCTTTATCTTCCATACCAATAGCTGAAATCTTCCTGCTCTGTGACTGTACAATTTTCCATTTTTCCTGTCAATCTATACAAAACAAAAATGTTCAGACAGCACTTCCAGCCTATCTTTCTAATCTATTTTGTAAGACTCATCTGTCTCTGGTGCCTGTAGATAGTTGTCCTGTGACTTTGTGAAAGACATGTATTCAAACAGTAATTCTTCCCACCCATTGGAGATGCTTATTTTCCTTCTAGTAGCAGTGAAAGTTTGACAAAACGTTTAGTTTAGAACTAATGTAAGTGAAATGCATTCTCTGCTTAATTTATCTGCCAGCCGCTTCTCCTCTGCAACATATTCAAGAAAAGTTTAGTCTTTACCTTCAATACTGTGCAAAATC